CTTGAAACATGGCTAGTCTGAGTTAACGAAGCTGTGTTAGTCAACACTCTTTAGTTGTGAGAAAATGCCTACAGAAAGGAATTTAAAAGGAAGACATGATTGTTTTGGCTCATGGCTTCAAGCTTTTAGCTGTGGTTACTGAGCTTTGCTGGGTTGGGCCAGTAGAGAGCAGGATGTTGTGACAGACCACAAGTGGAGAGCAAAGCTGTTTGCTCAATGACAGCAAGGAAGTTGGGGTCTGGGGAGTAGGAAGCAGGGACAAGTTATATACTTCAAGGACATGCCCTCAATGACCCACTTCCTCCAACTAGACCCTACTTCTAAAGTTTCCAAAACTTGTCTGCAGCCCATCAAGCTATGAAGTCATGGATGTTTAAACATATCCATTAGATCAGAGCCCTCATGATCCCGTCAGCTCCCAAAGACCCTGCCTTTGAGCACTACTCATTGAGATCAAGTCTTCACAGGAGCTCCCAGATGATGTTTCAGGTCCCAAACATAGCTATAAGTGAAACACAGACTATTTTTTAAAAACACACTGAACAAGATGTAAACTATCTGACTAAGTTTTGTGTTGATTACTTATTGAAATGATAGTGTTTGGGGTTAAATCAAAACATGATTAAAACGAACTTCTTGTGTTTTGTTCTTTTAATTTGGCTACTTGAGAACTTAAAATTATATACGCAGCAAGTGTTGTATTTTTGTTGGATAACTCTGACCTAGAGTTAATAAAGTATTGTTACAAAGTAGTAAGAAAATCATTTAGTAGAAAATGAACAAGACTTGGGTGCTAACTTCACAAAAAGAGCATTCACATAATTGGCAAGTATATAAAAGGTGCCACGGTGGCACACGCCTTTAATCCCAGTACTCGGAAGGCAGAGGCAGGTGGATCTCTGTGAGTTTGAGGCCAGCCTGGTCTACAGAGTGAGTTTCAGGACAGTCAGGACAGCCACGGCTACACAGAGAAACCCTGTCTCAAAAAACCAAAAAAAGAAAGAAAGAAAGAAAGAAAGAAAGAAAGAAAGAAAGAAAGAAAGGAAGAAAGAAAGAAAATGTCGCTGTCTGAGAAGCTATAGAGGCAGCCTGAGATGAGATAAACACAGGGTAACCGAAAGCCTCAGGCGGATAAGAACGTGAGACAGTGAAAACTCCAGTCTGAACGTCTGGTAGATGTGGTGGCTTGAATGAGATGCCCCATCAGTGTTGGGCAT